ACGCAGCATTTCATCCTGTGTCTTGTAGACAGTTCCTGGAGAAATTAACTGGTTCCAAAGCAAAGCCAGCTTAGGAACTACATGGCACAGAGGCCAGAGGAGGAAACAGCACTAGGCTTAGCCTTGTTTGGGATGAACACTAATGATTGAGAAGATAAATGGCAAAGTAATTGCATTTGCAGATGATGCTTAATTAGGTCACACTGCAAACAGCAATAACACAACAGGAACTGGGAAGGTTTGAAATACAGGTGGAACTGGGCGAGTGATGAGCCTGGAAGGATGCAGGGACCTCAGGGAGAAGGTATCCTCAATGTAGGTGGAGAAGAGCTGGGAGACAACCCTGGAGCACGAGGAGGCTGGAAACAGGAGATTAGGTGGGATTTCTCAATGGATCTGTCCTGCACTCTCAGGGCTCTGAAAGTTGTCGGGGTCCCTCGAAATCATGAGTAGCATGGCAGGGTTTAGCCAGGCCTTTTGCAGCACAAGGAGCACAGAGCGAGTGTTATTTGGGAGAGCTGTCAGAGTGCTCACTCCTGGGGCACCTCTGCTTCTCATCCGCCTGATGGAAGCTGACGTTGCATGAACCTTTCCGAGCAAACTCAAATTATTTTAATTTCTAAATCCAAACAGCTCCAATTATATCATTTCCCCTGTGCAAAGCTGGGTAATGCTCTCCCTCTGCTTCCCTGGCAGGGCTAAGGCAGCCCTGAGTGCAGGCAGTGCTGGGGCTCAGGGCTGGTTTGGGGGTGCCAGGAGCTCACACTCCTGTTCAGGAGTAGCTCAAGGGCCACACTGGGCCAGACTCCAGCAGGAAAAGTGAGATGGGGTGATGGTGAGGTGATTTAAATACACAGGAGTCTCCAGGGTTCAGTATCAGAAAAAAATAAAATAAATTAAAAAATCAGGCTTTTCAAAGAAATTAAAAATCATCTGCATGAATATTCCTATTCACAGCAGAACTCTTTGGTTTTCCTCCTTTTGCTCCACACAGAGCAGCTCCCTTGGCAGGCTCAGGGAAGATTTCACCATAAGGATGAGCAACAAACCATTTGGCAGTTACGGAAATAAAGGGGTGAAAAAAGCAATTGAGGAAACACTTCCTAAAGAGCTCTGCTTAACTAATTAACTGAGTTTCTTTCTACACTAGCCTGTTCATCACACCTTCAGTGCCATCCCTTTGCAAAGGGTATATTGCACTAGCACTTAGATATCATAATTGCAACTATACACCTGCAGCTGCCTTTGGTAATTTTTTTCCCCCAGAAGGAGCTGTCCCCCTTTTCTCCAAAGTTGCTACTGCCTCAGTGCCCTTTTCTCACCATTGTTTGACCCACAGCTCATGCAGAGCAAGCAGAGCAATCCCTGGATGCAGTTGCTGCCTCTCCCTCCCAGGCCCCCATGGCTTTTTCCACCTCCACCCCCCAAAAGCCCCATCACCACCTCTTTCTCCTCCCTTCCCCTTGCTGCCTTCTCTTCCGTCCCTCCCTGTGCTATTTTTACCGGGGTGCCAGGGTCTCTGCTTCCAGCAGCTCACAGAGACTCTTCTCCAGCGCAGCCAAGACAAATTCCAGGCACATTCCTTGCACCCACACTCAACTTCCCAAGCCAGCGAGGGGTTCCTGCCGAGCCACCCGCAGCCCAGCAGAGCTGGTCTCGCACAGACGAGCCACGCCGGCTCCGTGCCACCCGGGAAATGCTGGCGCTGCGGCCACCGCCCCTGGCATCCCTCCCCCGGTCTTGCCCTCGCTGCCCTTTGGCACTTTCGGTGCCGCTCCGGCACCGCCGGCAGCCCCCGAGCCCCGCACCGCAGCGCCCGTCCGCAGCCGTGGGGGCAAGGCAGGGGCTGAGCTGCTCTTGCTCCCACCGGGAATCCTTTCCTCCAGGAACCGCAGCTCCTCGGCACCATCTCCCTTCCAGGCTCCGCTACTTTGCTGGAGCACCCGCAATCCCCCCTCCCCCTTAGCCCCTCCATTTCTGGTTTAAATTCCCAGCCCCTTATCACATTACAAAGTAACCGGGGCGCCTCTGCACTCCTCTAAACTTAAACACCTTTTATTCTCATTAAAGGGGGCTGTGCTTCTCTCCTGCTTCTCTATCTCCCAGTTAAAAGGCAATTAATTACTGTTGACTTTCCCAGCAGATGTTCTCGCTTCGGCACTGGTCGGAAACGCGGTGATTTGTGAACCGCAGGGCTCCGGTGTGGAGGAGTGAGGGCCGGGACAAGCGGGCCGGCAGGGAAAGGAGCCCTTCCCAGCCAGCCTGGCTTTTGAAAAGGGAGAGAGCATGGCTGTTTATGAGAAAGTCACTGGCTGTTTTTCTTGGAAAGAAGCAAAATCCTCAGATAGGGGTAAAATCCTGATTCCACAGAAAATGAAGCAGTGTGGATTTCAGTTGGGTCTGGTCAGAGGTTTATTTCCCCTTGTACAAGAAACCTCTCATAAATCACCGTTCTCTCCAAGGGCTTTTCAAAGCAGTGATGCAAAACAGAACTGCACTGTCCGCCAAAGGCTGGCCGGCCCCAGAGCGAGCAGGGAAGTGGAAAGGAAGGGGAGGCCATCTCCACTGTCCCACTGCTCTGCCCCTGCCGTGTCCCCAGCACCCTGCATCTGTCCTTCCACCCCTGCAGCTCGCCAAATACCAGCCAAGGGAAGTGGGGATGAGGAACAAATGGATGCTGGGGGAATGAGATGGGGGACAGCGATGGATCAGAGGGAAGATGACCTGGCTGTGTGCTCCAAGGGAAGGGGCAACAGTGCTGGGTGATGGGGATAGCATTGCCATGGTGTGTACAGGTGCACTGGTGAGCATGGGCATCCCAATGGGCATGGCCACTCCTATGGGTGTGGGCATCCCAATGGGCATCCCAGAAGAATTTAAAGGGTAAGGATGTCCTAACATGAATGGGCATCCTGGTGAGCATATGCAGCTCCTGGCTGGGGCTGGCATCTTCACCACTGCTGGGTGAGAGGAGTGCAGCACATTATTGCAGAGTGGGACACAGGGGTATGGATCCTCCGCCCACAGGGTGCATGTCAAAGGCACCTTTTTCTGCAAAAATGCTGCTGAAAATACTTGCAAACAGTGAAGCTCCTGGGCTAACAGCCATGCAAATCCCCCTGATGATTACAGTGACTTTCTAATATCGACAGAAACCTCTGTGCTAATGAAATGCACTGAAGTTAAGCAGCCGTGGAAATGCCAGTGTAAAGGAGAAAGGCCACCAAACAGGCACTAATGGAAACCCAAATCCCCAGAACGAATGGGCTGTGATTGGAGAAGAAGGAAGGGAACAGAGGTCTCCTGTGTGATTGTCCCTGGACAATTGTGTGACCTTCTCCAGTTTTGACTGCGTGGTGTCATGGTCCTCAGAAGAGGAGGGCTTCATGGGTTGGGGTACCAGTGGATGGAAGGGAACACTGGGGTAGAACCTAGGAAGATAGGGAGCAATTTATCCCTTTGTCCCTCAGCTCTGGCACTTTGAGGTGCTTGTCCTTCCTGGGGAGCCTCCAGTGGGAGCCTCCAGTATGGCTGGGAAGTGCTGTCTGTGGAGGAGGTGCCTGAGGAGAGCACTGGCAGCCCTGCCTGGTCTTGACAGGCTGTTTCCCACTGAGCTGCAGCAAGAAAATGGGATTTCAGCTTTTCTTTTTCATGGTAAATGTTTCTGATTCCACCAGTGATGTGTTCACCTCTCAAGTTAATAGGCAATAAGCAAAGCCGTGCCATTCTTGTTAAGGAGACAGAAAGGGTTCCATTTAAGTGCAGTGTGAGAGTTACATAAGCTGGGATGGGAGAATACTCCAGGCCTCCTGGCAGTGGTCTGGGGAGCTGGGAAGGGTGGTTTGCATTTTCTCTGACAGCAGAGGCAGGCTGTGGACATGGCTGGAATATACCAGCACCGAAAACAGGGATTTTTGTAATTTTGCTGTCAGCTCTGCCAGGTGTTTGAATTGACAGTGACCTCAGACATGGGTCTTCCAAGCTGCTCCCTCCTGGTTATCAGGACAGAACAGGCACCTTCTCCCAGCCCCACTCTGCCCTGTGTGCTGCCACTCTTTGCAAGTGCTGGATCAGCTCAGCCCAGCACTGCGCTGATGCTGTGAACCTCATCTTGGTGGAGAGAGGCAAGAATTAGGGACTGAACCCTTTCAGACATCATCCATCTTCCTGTGTGGGCTGCAAGGTGCAGGTGGTGCAGCAAACCAGGGGGCTCTGTGCTGCAAGTACATTTTCTGTTGAACACTTTCTACTAATTGCACTAAAAATCTCCCACTGAGATGAGGGAAAAGTCACCCAGGCAGTCAGCAAGGACATGCTCAAATCTACTCATTACAAAATCCCCATTGCTGATAGGTCCGTCTTTTTAAATAATAAGCGTGGGATTCTTCTTGCTTTATAAAATTCCATTTAAAGGAGAAATTGCAAAAGCTTTCTGGCTCCTTTGATCATTTTTAAGGGTCCTTTTCAGTGTGGGAGAGAGACATTGACTTGAAGAAAAAGGGAACGGTGCTGAGCCGAGGGAGGTGCTCGGTGGGGTGGCTGCACTGGACACTCCTCACATCTCCAAGGAGAAATCCCTCGGCCATGCACAGAGCACTGCCTGCTATCACAGACATTCCCAGAGCCCAGCACTGCTGGTGCAACTGGTCAGCTTTGCCTGGCCCTGATCCCTGGGACTAGCTGGTAAAAGGAAAGGAGATATACAGGGGGACCAGGGGACTGCTGGTGATTGCATGTGATGTCTGTGTCACCTTGGAGTCACCTCTGCAGTTTGCTCAACAAAGTTGGAAAGTGTCGAAATTTGGGTCCCAGCCTTGGCTGAAGCCATGGGTGATGGGAATGGGGCAGCACACACAGAGGCTGGGGTTTTGCTGCCCAAGGCAGTGTTGGCATCCCCACATCCCCACATCACTGGACATCACCCCAGGGAGCCCCCACTGCCAGGACCAGCCCTGGGCTGTGCCAGGCTCAGCACTGCTGAGGACGTACAAGGTCACCACCAAAAGCCTTCTCATTGCTGTGGCATGTTAGGGATCAGTTTCCCTACAGCCACGCACGTCCTTTGGCTTAAACACCAAAGCCCTGGCAGGTAAAACTCTCTTTGTCTTTTGTCTTTTTATTGAAGGGCAGAATGCACAGGGGAGGGAACGGCAGCCGGGTGTGTTCTAATGAACCCTGATTTCTAGCAAAGCCTTTAATAGTATCTTGGTCTTGTGGTATCTTGCTTGAAAAATTAATTCAAATTGTTGTGGATATAAGCCTTTTCACAGGGCTGAGAACAAGCAGAAGGATCTGAAACAAAAGAGAAAAATAATATCTTGAGCTGGAAGGTGCTGTTAAGACCCAGCAAGGATTGGTGTTAGGCCTGGTTTTATCTAACACCTTCAATTAATTATCTGGGAGAGGGAACAAACAGCACCTTAATTAAATCTTCAAATGACATTACAGTGAAAAGGTGTTAGACATTTACAGGGACGTGCGAAGTAGAAGGAGGTGGAGAGAGCCTGGCTGACTCAGTGATGCCATTCGGGAGGAGGACCTGGGGCAAGCTGCATTCTCCAGGCACTCCTTTCCCACCTCTGCCTCATGCTGCATCCACAGAGATGAACGTGGGGGAGGCCTCAACCTGCCAGCTCTGTCCCCAACATCCTTTGACCCCCAGATTCCTGTGTGAGCAGGTTTTGGGGCTGCCAAAATCATTGCCATGGAGCGGCACCCGCTCCTCCTGCCTGCTGCCCCCGTGGCTATGCTAACTCCAATCACACCAGACCACTGAGGACTTGCACATCCTGTGGCTGCTTGAGCATCTTTGAAGCTGTGTCTGGGCTGGGTCTGCTCAGAGGAAAGCCAAAACCCTTCAAACAATGTGTTTGAGCTGGTGGAAACCAAGGGAACTTAGCAGAGGTGCACCTATGGTCTTAACTGAAAATGCCAGGTTTGTTAAGATATAAACCAAACTAAGGAATTTCTGGACAAAAATGTTAGTTAGTTTCCAGAGGAAGTTACATAAACATATTAGGGAAATAAACTCACAGAATAATTCCAAGAGAATTAAGAAGAGCCATAAGCGTTTCAGTCTAGAAATGAGAAACTAATATTGTGAGCATAAAGATTTCAGTTCCTTTGCAGTTCATACATTTTATAACAGAAATCCAGACATCTAAAAACCAAAATAAAACACTCCAATAACAACCATAACTCTGACTCTCTCTTTTTCTTCTTTCCTGGCACCCAGACAATGGCTCAGAAATGCATCTCATAACTCGAGCTTGGCGCCGGAAGTGACTTCTATAAAGTGGGATAATTAAGCAAGAGTAACGTGTTATTTTAGAAATTACATCCTCGCCATAACATGCCAGAGGAGGATGCTGGGCGGCCGCGGGCTGCGACTGCTGCTGGATCCATGCTGGCACCCTCGGCACTGAAGCCCTCAGTCAGCTTTGGAGGGGGGCGTTGCCAGAGGCTCAGGATGGCTGCAGCTAGCCCAGGCTTTGCATTTGGGAAGAGGAGGTAGTGCTTAAATCGTGTTTAACTCCCAGATTCTCGGCTGCTGGGGAGGGCAGAGGGGAGGCCAGAGGTCAAAGCAAGGTTGCTCCTGGCAGACTGATTAATTCAGGCTGCGAGGAGCGGGGCTGCAGTGCTCTGGGATGACAAGCATTGACATCTCCCCATGCCTTATCCTGCTGCACTAAGGCTGTGTTTTGCGTCTTGTATCTTGCGTCAGATGTTTTCGGTGCGGTGTGGCTAATAAACCAGCCGCTGGCAATTCCCACTCTCCTTTTCCACTCCAGCTTTTTTATTGCTGGGGCTGTTGTCCATCTTTTACATCCTGGTGTTTATTTTTCCCTATTGTTTAGATTAGCTTTAACTTCAGGTGGACGCCAGGCTTTTGTTCAGGAAAAAAACCACAATCCCTTGAGCAGCCAGATCTAACAACATCTTGCAAGCACCTCTAAATATTTCAAGGAGAGAGTCTGTCAGGGTTGCAGGGAACGTCTCTGATCTGCTCTCATTCATAGTTTAGCACATCCCTTGCCTCCTCCCACCTCCCCAAGTGATTGCGCCTGAGCTCAAACACATAGGCACCTTCCTCATGCTGAAAACATGTCAGCGGCTTCCCGCCAGGAGCTGGGCCAGGCCGGGCTGCCAGCTCGGCTGCCCCGGCCCTATGGGGGGGAGAGGAGCAAGAGGAGAACCGCTGCCTCCAATTAATCCTGAGCAAAGTCCCAGTGCAGCCAGAGCGAGCTCAGATTTATCTCCCGGCTGCCTGACTTGGCTCCTCTCCCCCAAACATTTGGCAGCGGCGGCTCAGGAGCGGTGGCTGGTGGAAACCCACAAAGGTCCCCGGCGCTGGAGCCGCTCTGAGGAACCTGCTGAGGGTCCCCGTGTGGGGGTGGGACCCTCGGGGCACCCCGGGACAGGGGTGCCCGCGCTGCTGTGCTCTGCTCCCTGGTGTGCTGCCGCCTCCTCTCGCTGAGCCTCCCGCCGCCGCTGGCAGCTCCGCCGGTCACCGCGGGCGCACGGGAGCCTCGGCTGGGACCCACGCCAGGCAGGAATGCCGCGGGGAAGGCAGCCCGCAGCCACTGCCTAGCAGAAAGGATGAGCCGGCTGGTTAAAAAGGTGTGAAAATAACTTTTTTTTTTTTTTTTCCAATTTGGTTTGTTTTTTCCCCCAGTCCTATTAAAAAAAAAAGATTGGTGAAATCCCTGCAGCCGGGACAGAGCCAGCCACGCTGGCAGATCCTCCAACTTTAGAGCGAGGATGGAGGCAAGTGGTGCCTGGGAGCAACGCCGAGATGCTGCTTAACCTTGGAGATGACCCACCTGCCCAGGCAGCTTCTTCCAGCCCCTCTGCGTGGGCACGGAGGGATAAAAGGATTCATGATGCCAGCACAGAGCAGTAAGTCACTGAAAAAAGAAAAGGAGAAGCAGCAAAGGCAGAAGAAGATCGAAAAAGGGATGGAATAAGTCTGAGAAGAAGGAAAGGTGAAGGAGCATTTGGGTTCTGTGCTGCCTGGGGAGGCCTGGCAGGCTGAGCAAACCCACAGACTCCTCTGCTCAATTCCCACTGCGCCAAGAGGAACAGGATATCGCACGTCATTTGTAAATAAACCCGCGGCATCAAAGGAGCCCTGGTCTCCCTGTGCACCCATCCCAGCCCGCCACTCCGGGGACAGCACACCAGTGCTCCAGGGATGAAGCACAGGGAGGCATCAGGGCTTTTGGAGGAGTGTTTACCTTCTGCACAAGCTGGTGGCGTGCCAGGGGGGGTGTCCGGGTGCTGGAAAAGGGATGCATTTGAGGAGTGGACGCAGATGTCCGCATTCCTGCAGCCCTGGGCACGGTCAGGAGCGCCCCGCGGGGGTGCCGAGCCATGCGGCGATGGCTCCGGGAGGCGCGGGCAGGACGAGGACCCAGGACAAGAAGAAACCCGCGGGTGCCACACGACTTCCCCGGGGCCCTCCTGCCACCGCCTCCGCCCAGGCGCTCGGGACTCCGCCGAGGGAATCGGAGCTGCCTCGGCTCTCCGACTTCAAAGCTGCGAGGGGAACATAATGATGTGCGAAACGCCGAGCTGCCAGCTCCCCGCGGCCGGCCCCACGCTTCCTTTGGAGTAAATAATGCCGTCTAACGAGATGCTTTAATTGTGTCACGCTAATTCCACGAGAAAGGAGACAAGATTGAGCATGTGCGCAGTCACGGTGGGTGCAGGACCCCAGCCTGCAATGTCCCCTTCCCCACGATGGCCCGGTCACAGCGGGGCTGCCTCATGATGCTCAGCCGGGGTGTGAGTGGTAGAGGCTGCTCCGGAGATGAGGGAGCGACCGGCAGAGCTCTGTGCGGGAAGTTCCGCGGCTCCAGGGCGCCCTGGGATGCACACGGGTGGGTGGTGGAGGGATGCTGGCAGCACAAAGGGGTGAGGGAAGGTGCTATCCCACGCTGCAACCATCGGGACATGCCATGAGGGTCCCTGTGAGGGGCTGACATGCTGGGAGCACTGCCAGCTTGGGAAGCTGTGTAGTGAAGCCAGAAAGTGTGAAAGGGATAGCCCGTGGCTTGAGTTTGTCTGGGCTCTGTGGGCGGTCCCGGTACGAAGATACAGCGTTGTCCTTGATCACAGCGCCTCGGGGAAGGATGCTATTGAGCCTTGCCTGCCACTGAAGCCCTGCGCCGATACCTCAAGGTTGACCCATGGGATGGCTGCAGGCAAATACCAGCTGGGAAAACCCCAGCAGCAGGACATGCTGTGCCCGGGGCACAGTCATGTCCCCAGTGATGGGCACGGATGTCACAGACTGAGCAGGAACTTGAGCATCTTCCAGCTCCCAGCTCACATCGAACCTCATTCTTCAGAATCTGTTTCTTAAATGAGATTAGGACGAAGAACATGATGAGCAGAAATGTGTACAAGGGGTAAACCAAGCCTGGGAAAATCCCCCAGCGAGCCTGAGCCTCGTGGCAGGGTGTTTAGCAGTGACAGTCCCCAGTTTCCACCTCCACAGCAACACTGTTTGATCTGGTGGTGCTCCCTGTCCCCTGGCATGGGCGTGCACAGCACCACGATGCTTCTGGGTGGTTTGTGGCTGCTGTTATTCCTGTGGATTAGCATTTTGTTATTGTCTGCAGGCAGCCTGACCCCAGTCCCCACACTGGGCTGCCAGCTGGGGCTCCTGGACCCTGAAGCCCTCAGGCGTGACTTCAGCCATTGGCCACATGTGAGGAGGTGCTGAGAAGCCAACACCTGTGCTTCTGGTACACCCAGTCACCCTGGCCACTGTAAGCTCTTTCCTGGACATAAACCTTTGGTTTTCAAGGCTGTTTTCTCACCAGATGAATGAAATAAACCAATGATTAAAAGGAAAAGTAGGAAAATAAATTGCACCATGTGCAGTCGTTTGGACACCCCAGATGGCTTGTCAGCAGGCTTTGACTTTCAGGTCTACAGCACAGATGGCTCTGGAGCCAGGGGAAGAGCTGCTACCCATCGTGTGCGGCAGCCCCCAGCCCTCAGGGCGTTGCTCCTCAGAGGTCAGGGGCCGTGGTTCAGCACCAGGGTCTCCTAAGTCCCACCATGGTGTGCTCAGAAGAGGCTCCACTCACTCAGTGGCTGTCACACTGGATGGGTGACACTGTGACAATGCCCTGGTGTGCTGTTCCTTGTGCTGCTCTGTTTGCACCAGGTGATGCCAAAACGTTTTGAGAGCAATTCAGCCAGGCACCACTCCAAGAGCAGCATGTGAGGGCCGACTTTGGGCAGGGAGCATGGTGTTGCTGAGGGGACATTGTGCCAGGAGAAGGTTGGAGCAGTTTGTGGAACCTCAGTGGCCAAGCTTGCCCTTTGCTCCACGCAGTAGTGATGTCAGCCATCCCCTCTTCTATGAGCCTGCAGCCCTTAGAACTCCCTTCCTCCTTTTCCTTATAGATATATGGTCTAATTTGGAACAGCAACTCCTTTCAGTGGAAGCTGCATCAGTCTTTGCTTGGAACTGGCAGACACATCAGCATGGTGGCATCAGCACGAGACAGTAGCAATAATCATTAGCACTGGGACTGAGGACTCTGTGCTGGCAGTGATGTAGCATTTCCATTAGGAGCCTCGTACCACTCTATTACTATGGCATTAGCAGGAACAGCACTGCTGCAGCCCTGGGAATGGGAGAGGATGTTGGCTATAGTGGGGCAGCAACTCTTCACCAAACTTTCCTGCTCTGTTCCCAGCCAGGATGCAGTGGCAATGCTCATGTCATCACCCGAGGGGAAATCTGTCCCTCATCACTGGTGGGTCACCCTGTCACACAGAGGGTCTGTCCCAATGTTTTGGCACTTGGTTTTGTTTCCTTTCCGCCCCCCCATCTCTGGTTTTCATTGTAAAGCTCCAAACTTTCCCCTCCACTTCCCTGCGTGCAACAACATTTCCAACTCTCCCCTCCTTGGAGACTCACGAAGGCTCCAGGAAGAGGGAGGTTTGTGATAAACAGATGGGAAATAGGGAAAATAGTCAAACAAAGAGAGGAATGAGAAGGAGAAGAGAACAAGGTGCAGATTCCTGGCCACTGGGGTAGGAGGGGGAAGCAGGCGGATTATTACGTTAGGAGCAGCTTCAAACTCCCAATTCTCAGGGCACGAAACCTGCACAATTTAAAGTAGTCAAAACAAACCCTTTGCCGCTATTTATACTTGGGCTGCCTGCAGGCGGCAAAACCTTGACTCCATATTCCAGGCCTAATAGATTCCAGGTGTTTTCCAATAAACTCCCCTCCTCCAGTGAGAAGACTGAATAAGCTCCAGGCACCTTTCGTTCCCTCATCCCCCTCGGAGCAGCCAGAGGGAAGGGGCTGGCCCCCAGGGTGACCAGCACACTGGGGCATCCCCTACTCCCAGTCTTCACTGCTGAGGCTGGAAATACAGGCTGGGAGCCAGGGCTGGTGCTGCAAAAGGAGGCTTTGCTGATTGAGGGGGGCAGGGCAGCTCTGGGGGTCACCTCTCTGCAGCCTGGCTGGCTCCCAGGGTGTTGAGAGGGAGTATTCCATGCAACAGGTATGGAGTGGGAGACGGGCCTTGCAGAGGGGATGCTGTTTATGCCTGTTACATCCCCTTCCCCACAACATTATGGATGGCCACGGGTTGTCTGCTGCATCCAAAGGGGTCCAGCCCCATGGCCCTGCTGCACAGTGCTGCCCTTGAGGGTGTCTCTGACACCTTCAGCTGCCAGGTCTGGGGTAAAGGCTCTGTTCTGGCAATGCCTCACCCTGGTGCTGATCACAGAACACCCTGAGAAGCACCAGGGTTGCTGGGGAGAGAGTGCCCACCCGCATCCCTGTCTGTGGCCTCGCTCCTGAGGAATGCTTAGGTCTTGCAGAGCAGCAAACTCTGCTTTTTAAAGCAGCTGAGGAGAAGCAGTGCTAAGCCATGCTCAGCATCAAGCAATTAAGCTGGTGACAGGGCCCAGAACGGGCTGTGCATTCCCTCTGCTTTCCTGCTGCTCTCCCAGGATGCTGGGCACAGACAGGCTTTCTCCCTGGCGGGGCCCCTGCACCCTCCCAGCCCACCACAGAACTCCTGGTAACGTTTGACAGATCAGCACCTATTCCCTGTAAGCTAAGTGAGGTTCATTTGCAGCTCCCCAGGGAAAGGTGCAGGTCTAGCTAAAAATGTCCTGTTTCAGAAGTTACTCAAGTGGAATAAACCTAACCCTGGTACCCATCTGATTTACCCAGCTCTCTGGCAGGAGGGTGCTGGGATGAGGATACAATGAGCCACAGAAATGTGCTGCAAACCCTGCCCCTGCCCCTGCCCCCTCCATCTCCAAAGAGGTGCACATGAAGGAGCTGGGAACTGCTTTTGTTTTATTCATGTCTCAGAGCCAGCAGAGGCCACAGGCATTAGTACTGCATTGCACGTGGCAAAGGAAACACCCCATCAGTTCCTTTAGTGTGTGGAGGAAATTAGACCTCAGCATTTGAGTGACACCCACAGATTTATGGACCCTGTACCTGAAGGATCTGCAGCATTCCCTTGTTGCAGCAGATAATTCCTCTCCCAAAAAAATATTTGTGCCTGAATTCAATTTTTTTCCCCTCCTTTGAAACCTCCAGCTGTGGCATCCTGCTTTACCTGCTAAGCTGGAGAAGCCTCTGCTATCAGATATCTTCCCCTGGTGCAGCTCAGGTCTCCTCTCCTTTGATCAACTGATTGGGATCCTTAAATTTCTCACGGTAAGCAGGTCTTGGGGCTCAGCCCTGCCACATATCTCAGCCTGTTTCTGATCTTGTTACTGTTTTCCAATATCCTTTGCTGGAATAAGGTCACCAAAATGGGACCCCTGCTGCTTTCCCTTTTGCCTCCGAAGCAGCACCCACCATGTGTGTCCCACATCCCAGCCCAGTGGCACTGCCATCATCTCTGTGGGTGGGAACCCCACAGTTCCTAGGCTGTGCAGCATCCCCCATACTTGGAGACTGCCAGAGCATGGCTGAGGGCTGGAGCAGGAGCCTTGGCACCCTCTGGCAGCTCTTGTACCAGCACGGTGTGTGCCTACTTCCAAAACAAGCCCTGGTCATTGCATTTAAGATCAGGATTGGCTTTCCTCTTTTTATGTGTCAAATTAGTCAATCTGCAGGGAAGCAGATCCAGAGCATCCAAGACTGTATGTAAGGGACAGGAGAGGGTCAGGACCTGGGGCTGGCACTTGTGACAGGGAAGCTGCTCCCTCTCCTGAGAAGGAAAAGGGGAAGAGCTGAGCCCCTTGGAGTAATTTAAAATGAAAGAAATAAAAAGAAAGTGCGGCAGGAAAGACAAATAGTTTTCAGGCACTGTGTTGGCATTT